TGGCTTCTAGTTATATAGAAAACTTCAAAATATATTTCTAAACGTAGAATAATTGAGCCTTAAAGAATAAAATGGCAAGCTTTTGAAGTCACAAGTACACTTTTCATAAAGATTAATTTTATTTTAAGTATATTATGAAGACAATACGGCGAAAGAAATAGTGATGAAGAACGTTAGAACTGTATACATTGACTTACAAATAAATGGACGACGGGTCTAATACAAAAACCACGAAAAAAAGTCCCAAGTCAACCTATTTAAAGTAAAGGAATATGAAAAAGCTAAAACGTTGAATTCAAATTGTAATGTCGTCGCAGTACTGTCTAATTTTGCTTGCAACAATTGAAAAGCGCAAAAAAACACCATATTCAACTTCTACTGGAAACTTACCAAAATGCACCATATATAGCTTCTAGTGAAAAGTACTTCAACACAGGTATAATGGAGTAGCTTTTATTATTTATAAATAAATTTTATATGTAAATGTTGAATTTTATACAATGCCATTCATTAGGAGCTAGGATGTCTGATTTTTTTTCTTGATATTCGAGAATTCTCGTACCCGATTTCTCGAGATATTCGAGAAATGAACTTTTGTAAATTGGTTCTGCTCTGGGATTCTGTTGCTCTGATACTCATGGGGAGTATGTACAGAGAGTTCCCTAGTTTCAGACCAGGTGATTGTCTTACAATAGAATACCAAGATCAGAACCATTTAGAAAAGTTAATTTGTTAAATTGATCCTACCAGTATCGAACCCGGGAACTTCTCATCCAGTGCCCACAGTGCAAACCGTTAGGCTATCAAGGTTGTACTATTTGTATTATTATGCATTGTTTGCATGTGAAAGCTACAAATTGCTTAACCTTTTAAAAAAATCCTATTTAATTTGCAGTGTCAGTCTGCTTCAATTACCTTCTTTGTTTCTTAAGTTAGTATATTTTGTCATTCATCCAATTTTTTATTTTTAATGCTTTTAATGGTGTAAGATGTTCTCTGTTAATACTTGTCACTTTCTCTTTAAGTTCAAGCTATGGGTAAATTCCTGTATTATCTCCTTTCTATGCACATTTCACTCATTGATTTAATCACATACCTATCTCGAGATCTTATACATAGTATAAGATCTCGAGGAAAACTGAAGTAAATACATTTATTATGCCATGCCATAAGAAATGTACCGATGTTTCGATTTTTTAAATTCAAATTCAACGTAAAGCCAAATTTTCATAATCCTGAAAACCGATTCGAAATAAAACCGTTATGCTTTAGGGAGTTTTGGATGCTTATTACAAAGAAAATACTAAGTTAGCTTAGGTTTGTTTTGTAATATTCTAATAAAAAAAAACCTAAAAAAATACTTTTAGAGATTATGGAAATTCATGCAAACGTTATTTCGGGCAAATGTATTTTCAGTCTTCTGATTCGTAACCCCAAGCCGTAGAAAGAGTACAACAATATTTGAAAGTATTACTAAAAATATTTTAATAATAACATTAGCATCAAAGCGACTCTATGAAATTTTTGTTCTAAATATTTCAAACGCTTGTGTTTGAAACAATTGAAATTGACGTGTTGGGTCTCGTTCAGTCTTTTACGCAAGCTATGAGTCGGAAAGAGACAGTTAGCTATTTGATTATTTTGATTGCTTTTGTAATTTATATTTACGATTAATTTAAATATAAATTAAATATTATATATACTAGTGCATAAAATAACACTTTTAAATGATAACTATGATAACATAATGTAGTACTTACTGAAAATATGATATACCATCCTGTTTTTTCACTCTAGTTGAATAATTTTTACAAGGTTTTACTACATCATTGACAAGCGCGCTGTCAGTCGAACAAACGAAAACTAAAGCGCGAATGACGCTCTGTATACGATTTTAACGCCCTATAAGTTCGGACACTTTTTAGCGCGGACCCGACGTTCATATAATTGTAAGTCAATGACTGTATATATCTTTCTTTACACCAAATAACAAGAGTTCAGCTTGAAAATTCCAAAATAAAGTAAATTCAAAGTTTTTGTTCGGTGACAATAATATGACTTAAGTGAAAGTGAAAACATTGCCTCCCGCCGCTTAACAGACTATTTAGAAAGCCCAAACAAGAGAACTAAGCTATGAGAAAGTGAAAACATAATGTTGTAGAACCACAATTATTATTAAGATAATATTAAGATAATATTTAAAGAGGATCCCGATAATTAAAACGAAGACATGGCTCAAAGAACTTATATCCAAGCCAAAGCGCTTAGTAAAAAAATGTGCCTTCTAAATTAATTTTTCCATATTTTCAAATTTTACCAACTTTTCGGGAATATTTTCAGAATAATTTCCACTATTTGAAAATTTTCGGAAAATTACCCAACATTATACCTACGTGACATTAGCGGGATTGTGATTGTGAAAGATACAGAACAAACTGCTAATAAATAAGAAGGAAGAAAAGTATTTATTGTTCTGAAAAATATGATTTTTTTCAATATGGAATTTTTTCCATGACCCTATATGCTCTAAGCCCTGACCTTAAAGAGCATATAGGAAGGGAGGCGCTATTAGCATTATTTCTCGAACAAAACTTTCTGCCACATTTTGAGGGGCGGGGGGTACTACATGAATTGTGTCACTATGGTCTCACACAAACAAAAGTCTACAACACTAGCTTATTTTTACAAATACACAAATAAAATAGTACACAGAATAGACCTATAAAAATAAATTGATTCTTATGAATATACTGGAGACGGAAAGTTATCGACGTGACGGTGTCGATATGTATTACGTTCTGGTTAATCATACATATGAAAAATGTAATTCCACCCTTGGCTAGACTGGATGTAGTGAATTTCTTTTTCCAATTTTGTGTGTAGTGTAACAGTGGTATTGTTTTACTTGTACCAATAAGTGGATATACTTTACCAATAAGTGGATGACAATATATACAATCCAAAGTCCAATCCAAAAAGCGCGAAAAAACCTCCGGAGTCTTTTTTTTTTCAGTTTATGGCTTTTCGCGGTCAGCGTTGGAGCCAATGACAGGCATGGACGGAGTTAACCTCTACAAATGTAGTGACATGTATAGAAATATTAAAAAAACTAAAACATTTAATTTAAACTGTAAAGTCACTGCAGTATTGCTAAATTTTGTTTGCTACAATTTAAAGGCCCAACAATTATCCATATTCAGCTTCTACTGAAAATGACAAAATGCGCCATATTTAGCTTCTAGTGAAAACTATTAGAACACAAGAGTGATGCAGTAGTCTTAATGTCAATATCAATTAATTTTATAGTATTATGTTGAATTTTTTACGAATTCACTTTAACTATTAAGAGTTGTATAGATATATAGTCACATACAAATATTGTAAATGTGAAAATAGCTGTGTCTCTCTGTTATATATATATAGTTATAACGTGCTGTAAGAAATGTATCGATAATTCGAATTTCTACATTCCAACTAGAAGTAAACTCAAAGCTTCATAATCTCGAAAATCGATTTATAACAAAACCATTATGCTTTCAGGGGATTTTGGTTGCTTATTACAAAGAAAAGATTAAGTTAGTTTGCTTTGTAATATTCCTAAAATAACCTAAAAATATATTTGGGATTACAAAAATTCGAGCAAACATTACTTCGGGCAAATGTATTTTCTGATTGATAACTCCAAACAGTAAAACTAATACAACAATATTTTGTTACTTATTTATTACTAACATTTAATTAAAAGTCATTTTAAAAATAAGATTTAACATTGAAATGAGATTTAGAACAAAGAAACTATAGAGTTTTCTTTGTTCTAAATCTAAATATTTCAATCGCTTGTGGTTCGAAAATTGAAATTGACGTAACGAGTCTCTTTCTGTCTTGCGGGTTCACTTATGCGAATCTCTTATACTTTCTAAACTTAATTACTGTCTCACTGCCTTTGGTCCGTGTCTGTTGGCAAGAACGCACAGACTACTGCAACGAGTGCAAAATTCATGTGCACGATTCTGCTTCTTAATACCACCTCGGAGCCACGTGACACCATTCCTGCATAAGTCGAACATGCTTGCAATAGGTGGACGCCTTAAATTGTATTTGGCTGGGCTGTTGTTTGATGTAGTTCAGTCTCACGTACCTGACTATTTGTACGAGAAACTCACTTGGTCATCCACGGCAAACTCTCGCTTTAGGTCAAGGTCGACAAGGCTATTTCTGCTTGCAACCCCCCGGCATGGTACCGCTGCATTTAGAGGGAGCTTCCGTTACCTAGCCACTAGTTGTTGGAACAATATTCCTCCTCCTATCCGTAACAGTGTCTCAAAAAAACGTTTAAGCTAAAGCTGCGGGAGCATCTGTTAAATTTGCAAAAATTGGGGATATGAGTGGCTAAGGTATTTGCGGTTGTCTCTTGTTTGTCCACATACAGGGTCGGGAGCGCGTCGTGCTTGACATTTAAGATTTAATTTCAACTCTGTGCCGCTTGCGATAGGAACGGTCCAAGGTCCAAGGTGCCTGTTAATTAAAGGTGCTTGTTATGCTCTTGGCTGTACCTCGTTTCAGGACTGCAAATAGTGTATTATGTGTGGAGGTTGGGAGGAAGAAGATTGAAAATTGAAAATTAATAATTTAAAAATGAAATCAGATTTTTGTTGGATTGCGAGTGGCGTCTCTATCCTATAGGGTCCTGGCAGAATACCAGCGTCGCGGGCAGCCGCGTCATTTATGCTGAGCCAGCGCCTTTTTCATTGCCATGACTTCCAAGTGTAATATTAGTAGAATAGAGTAGTAAGAATATCATTATTGTTATATATAAGTTAATGCCTATATCATGTATCTGATGTCATGGTGGTGAATAAAGCTTTTATCTATCTATCTATCTATCTTTTGCGCATGTCTTGTGTAGGATAAGGATAGTTAGCTATTTGGTTATTTTTATTGGTTTTGTAATTTATGTGTATTGTATGTACTCGTATATGTACTTTTTATTTTTTTTACAGTACGGCATGAATTATGATGATTTATATTAAACAATTACAATTTATTTTAATTATTTATAATTTATTACATTAATATTTAGTATACAATACGACGGAGAAATCAATTTGAACAAACTTCGTTACATAATCTGTCGATAAAAATAGGAGCCAAAAGAGCGCGTCGCTTCTCTATAACGGAAAAACAGCGTCCATGAAGTACTGCATTTTTTTGTTTATAGATGCCTTAATTTAAGGATGGAAAATAAGATAGTTGCTCGTTAGTAAATATGAAACTTCATAGGCATGCTTCTGTCAAATGTTCGAATGTTTTGAAATATTTTTTATGTAATCGATAAATTGAATCAATGTGGGGTTGACAGAGGGGATTGCCTGTCGATGACGCCTCCAGCCCTATATTATGCTCTAAGCCATGACCCAACAATATTATCGACTGACTTACTTACCACACCACAAGCTGATAAAATTGCACGCGTTCTCAAACATGAACGCGTTGATAAACTTCAGCTTAACGTGCATGTTGTGATGCGCTTTTTGGAACGCAGCCAATTACGTGTCTGTCACATAAAAGCGAATTTTTGTGTTATATTATTTTTGTGGTGTCCTCTGAAAGCATTGATTTTCAGTGAGAAAATGTTCGTTAGTCCACTTATATTCGTGGTATTAGTCACATTATTTAATGGGATATTGTCAAAAAGCGTCGAACTAACGTTCGAGTTGCCCGACAGCGCTGTAGAATGTTTTTACCAAGACATCGAGAAAAATACGTCTGCTTCTTTAGAATACCAGGTAAAACTGTTTTCCCTCTTTCTACAATGCGATTTCTAGTTTATGACATTAATATTTGCTCATATAATCACAGTGTTTCTTATACAAATCTAATCCGAATGTAACCTCTACGTAGTTCACATTTTCTGTTAGAAAAGGTTTTATCGTTCATGCCGACATCATTTAAAATGTTGTTCTACATTACAGTGCATAAAGAACTCGGTAAAAGTACTATATCCTTGATAAAATTAAACAAGTTTGTTTATAGTTGTTTTTGACTTGTGACTTAATTGCTTTACATGTTACTTGATGGTGGGCACCTTTCCGCACTTTAACCATAGTATCAAATTAGAACTAAGTTGAATAATGTGTTTTTGCTGTTTACAGGTGATAACAGGAGGGCAGTATGATGTAGATGTTAAAGTAGAAGGGCCTAACAAACAGATCATTTATCAACAACAGAAGATGCAGTATGACTCCCACCAATTTGTAGCCCAACAAACTGGTAAAATCATTATGTTGTAAGAAATTAAATAAATGATGTGCTTTTGCTTATCAATTATTAATTGTTATGACACATAATTAACTCATTGTGAATGCCCGACTGTAGATGATGCCCCATATAGGAAGAGATTACATTTTAAACCAAGCAAAAACACAATTATAGTATTGCCTACCTAAGATGTACTATAAATACTTTTAAGTCCATTGATATAAAAAGTCAAAACTAAAGCGACACTTCTGTGGCTCTCTAGAAAAAGAAATCTGTCATGCTTGAGGTTTAGTAAAAGAAAAACAAGTACTACCTAATTATTGCTTAATTACAGGTGTATATAAAGTGTGCTTTAGTAATGAATTTAGCACATTTTCTCACAAACTTGTGTACATGGAATTCAGTGTAGGACCAGAAACACCATTACCGGGTATGGGTGATCATGCTACTGTTCTTACACAGGTAATTTCAAACATGTCTTATATTCTTTAATAAACTTTTATTTCATATAAATATTTATATTAATATTGCTCTGGTATTAACATACACACATAAACATTCACATTTATATACAATATATATTTGGTAGATTTTGTAGAAATCAATGCCAAAGTTTCCTTTTGGATACATGGATTTCTAAGAATTCACCTTATTGATATCCATTTTTTTTTAACTTTTACTTTTTAGGCTTTGATCATTATTGAAAATTTAATCGCCCTGTTAGAAAAACATCGAGAAAACTATGAAATATTTAAATAAAAAAAAATAAAAAAAGAAATCCAAACCAATTGTGAAGTTATGATAGTGATAGTGTATGTGTTAACATGTATTGATATTTTCAGATGGAGACATCAGCAGAAGAAATTCACAAAGTGCTAAATAGAATCATAGATCATCAGACACACCACAGGCTACGAGAGGCTCAAGGTCGCAAAAGGGCAGAAGAACTGAATGAAAGAGTGTTCTACTGGTCCATGGGAGAGACCCTGGCCATAGTGTGTGTAGCATTTGCGCAAGTTATGATCCTAAAGAACTTCTTCAGTGACCGGCCCACATTATATAACAGAATGTAACATTAGATATTTTAAACAATACAATTTAATATAATTTTTTTGGGGTAATTTATTTATGTTGTTTTAATTATAGTATAAACAAAATCATTATTTAAACATGTATTTATTATCCAAGGTAATACACATGTAAACTTAAATGTTTATAGGTTTTATTACAAATGTGAGATGATTATGAATAACATGATTCATTGCACTGTTTTTACATTGTGTCTTTTATTTTCTAAAATAAAACTAATAAAGCAAACACACCGTTAACTAAGGCACAAGGGTAGGCTATTAAGGGTCTCTGTTCAGAATCTCCTGACATTGTAACAAACAATCTGCTTGCTGATAGAGCTGACCAAATAACTGCTATTGCAGATAGAGACAAACCCACAGTCCCTTCAAGAGAAATAAAGATGCCAAGACCAGCTAATACTACCATTGGCAGCATACAGTAACCAAGTACACTTGCAACACTCAATACAGTAAATACACCTTCAGTACGACTCATTAGTGAAAGTAAGAAATACATCAGAATAACTGACAACATTGATAAGCCATACACATAACCAAAATGTGCTTTATTCCCTGATAGAAACAAACACACTGCTAAGGCTAAACAAAAGGCAATCGGGCCTGCAATGTCAGTATCTCTTAGTAAGAAATTTGCATCGTCTGCCTTTGATTGTCCATGAAAAGGATTTAGTACAGCTAATGTCTTTTCTAGAATTCTATCTGGGTATATTTCTAACTCATCCAAAAGTGGTGGTTCATCAAATTCATTGGTCTCTGCAGCTGGTTCACCAGGGATGGGTGCCGGAGTAAATAGATTTGGATTGTAGTACTGGTTGTTGTTGGCGGGAATAGAGCCTTGTTGGTCGAAATTGTAGTTTTGCTGGTCTGTTGGAAAAGTCTGAAAATCTGCAAAATAATAAATACTTAAACAAAAAATATGGTATCAAATATGTAATGAGTAGGTCACACAATTCTTATGGACATATTTTTTAACATTCTACGACCGCGTCTAAGGTATCTACTTATATTTTTACCTAAAGATATTTAAAACTGAGAATAAGCACTCACCTAATGTCTGTGAGTCCCCAAAAGTGTTCGCACCATTGAATGAATAATTTGGGTTGTTCTGTTGAGTTTGCCAAGAATAATCGTTCGGATTGTTAAAATTTGCCATTATAGCCTAGTGATCAACGACACAACACTCGCTGCCTATCAATATTTGTTCCGTAATTTAATTATTATTACGGCAAAGTATATACAACGAATCTCTGAATTTTTATGTGATGACATGGAACTGTCACTGTCAATTGAGTTTTTTTTTCTTGCTTTAGACACCCAAACGGGGCGGTTTTGCCTGTATCAGTTTAATAATATCGTCGCTTTACTTTCTCAAACTCGTATCTTAAAGCACAAAGTTACTGAAATGTGAAAAATGGATTGTTTGTACAAATTTTACAGGCTGATTTCACATCAAGTGTGATATGAAATTAGCATCACTTCATATTCACACATTGGCTTTTACCTAAGCAATGCATAGAAATTAACACCTCCGTTAAGAAATTTAAGATAAATAGAAAGTTTCGCCGTCTCTTGCATAATCACTCTTTATAAGATACGAGTATGAGAAACTATGCCATCAATATGGACAGTTTTTAACCGACTTCAAAAAAAGGAGGTTCTCAATTCGACTATTTTTTGTTATGTATGTTACGCGTTAACTCCGGCGGCACTTGTGAACCGATTTTGATGATTGTTTTTTGCTGGAAAGAGGGTACCTCAGTAGTGCTCCCATTTAAATTTGAAGAAAATATCGACCACTAAGGGTGACAAACTAGGGGATAATAATAATAACGCACACACTCAACATGGCCCCGCACTAGGGAAACCCTGTGTCGCGGGTGCCATGGACACACACATAGACAACCACAAATTACACCCAAACTCACGAGAGAAATAAATGTAGGCCATACAAATATTTCTCCCGGCCCGGGAATCGAACCTGGGGCCTCTGCGTGGCAGTCCGGCATGGTAACCGTTCGGCCACGGAGGCAGTTATGTATGTATGTATGTAATTATGTATTTTGTATGCTTAAATGATTATTGAAATTAGTTTAGTTCTTCGACGTTAAAATAATCAAATGAACACAATTACTTATCATTGTCAATTTAATGTGAACAATAATAAGAATAACATATACCAACGGATTTATATTACATAAATAAGGAATGTACGACAAATCGTAATAGTTGAACGTTATTATCTTTTTTTTTCATCGAAAGAAAAAGTTAGGTGCACTCATTGACTTACAAATAAATGGACGACACGTCTAACACAAAAACCACGAAAAAAATGTCCCAAGTCAGCCTATTTAAACGTAGTGACATGTAAACGAATATGACAAAGCTAAAACGTTGAATTTAAATTGTAATGTCATTGCAGTACTGCCTAATTTTGCTTGCAACAATTGAAAGGCGCAAAAAACACCATATTCAGCTTCTACTGGAAACTTACCAAAATGCACCATACGTAACGTCTAGTGAAAACTACTTGAACACATGTATAATAGAGTAGCCTTTATTATTTATAAATAAATTTTATACGTAAATGTTGAATTTTATACAATGCCATTTATTACGAGTAAGGGTGTCTGACTTTTTTTCTTGAGTTCCGAGAATTCTCGTACCCGATTTCTCGAGCTATTCGATAATTTTTTTTAAAACCGTAATACATCAGCTCAGTCAACTATAAAACTAAATGTGAACATTTCGAAAGTCGTTTTGGCCTGGGTGTTCTGAGTTATACCCGGAATAAATTCCATCGTTCTTGGTCCCAGGTTCGATTCCCAGTAGAACCAATTTGGGAAATGAACTTTTGTAAATTGGTTCTGCTCTGGGATTCTGTTGCTCTGATACTCATGGGGAGTATGTACAGAGAGTTCGCTAGTTTCAAACCAGGTGATTGATTGTCTTACAATAGAATACCAAGATCAGAACCATTTAGAAAAGTTGATTTGTTAAATTGATCCTACCGGTATCGAACCCGGGAACTTCTCATCCAGTGCCCACAGTGCAAACCGTTAGGCTATCAAGGTTGTTACTATTTGTATTGTTAGTGTCTTTGTACACTCATTGATGTAATCACATACCAAAGCTTTAATATGGTCTTTTATCAAGCTTGCATCAGCTTTCTTTTCTTACCATTTTCTTAACCCGTTCATGCATAGTACTGAAATTATACTGCGCTCAAAAACGTCACCACTTTTCTATATGCCGTAGTGCTTACATTGATTCAACATAATTATGACGGTGTATCACTGACGACGGTTGATTCCGTCAACAGGCATAATCGTACTGCTCATAGTTCTTGCAAATGTTTCTTGTGCATGAAAAAGTAAGGCTATGACAATAGTAGGGTATTTGCCGTTGTGAGACAATTACAAAATTAAAATGCGCGATATTGATTGCGCAAGAGAAACGCTTTCTTAATTAATTTCTTATTGATTAATAATAATACTTATAATAACGCACATACTCAACATTGCCCCGCATTAGGGAAACCCTGTGTCGCGGGTGCCATGGACACACATATATACAACCACAAATTACACCCAAACTCACGAGAGAAATAAATGTAGGCCATACACATATTTCTTCCGATAAACCTATAAAAATACTTTCGGAATTATGGAAATTCATGCAAACGTTATTTCGGGCAAATGTTTTTTCGGTCTTCTGATTCGTAACCCCGAGCGGCAGAAAGAGTACAACAATATTTGAAAGTATTACTAACATGTATTTAAAAATATTTTAATAATAACATTAGCATCAAAGCGACTCTATGAAATTTTTGTTCTAAATATTTCAAACGCTTTTGTTTCAAACAATTGAAATTGACGTGATGGGTGTCATTCAGTCTTTTACGCAAGCAATGAGTCGGAAAGAGACAATTAGCTATTTGATTACTTTTGTAATTTATATTTACGATTAATTTAAATATAAATTAAGTAGGTACTATGTATACTAGTGCATAAAATAACACTTTTAAATGATAACTATGATAACACAATGTAGTACTTACTGAAAATATGATATACCACCCTGTTTTTTCACTTTAGTTGAGTAATTTTTACAAGGTTTTACTACAATACGGCATCATTGACAAGCGCGCTGTCAGTCGAACAAACGAAGACTAAAGCGTGATTGACGTTCTGTATACGATTTTAACGCCCTGTAAGTTCGGACACTTTTTAGCGCGGACCTGACGTCCATTTATTTGTAAGTCAATGGGTCCACCATAGTCCATCGCCAGGTTTGAATTTCAAAAACCTTATCCACGCTAGCGTGCAAAAAATGCTTTTTCGCGCAGATTACTAATGAGAAAGAAAGCCTTTCTGAGCTAGTGAGGTGAAAATAATATTTTTTAAACACTACAAAACAATAAATGTTTTATATAACAACGTTATCACTCATTAACATGCGGTCATTGAAATCAACACATTATAAAATAAATGAGTATTCGAGATAATTATAATAAAATATTATTAATGTTTATTTCCATAACTTCACAACGAAATTACGACGTCAGACGAAAAAAGTTGAGACGGAACACGTCGAAAATATTGAGTTGAGTGCCTGAGTTGAGTAACTGTTTCAGTTGAGAAAAAATTTTTGGCGATCTTTTTTAAAATTTGGCCTACTTATTCTTGTATATATAAAATTGAATAATTTTAATTATTTCAAAATACTAGTGTCGTTTGGAGCTACGGTGTGTTATTTTCGGTTTAAATGGTATATTTTTGATGAATTTTTATCCAATCGCACATGAAACCAAATACTATCGTAACTTGAAATTGCGGAGTTGAGGAAACATAATTTGAAAATGAAAAAGAAAATACTGAATGAATCTTATTGCGAATAATGTCATTATTTTTGTTTATAAGTACATAATACTTAATTGTCCCTTTATAAATATTCGAGAATATGTTACGTTACAGGAAAGAACAGATATATATTGTAAGGTGATCGTATTACTCACGGAGTGCTGGTTGCAATGTCACCCCAACATGCACACGTTAATTGGTTATAATCAATCTCTTGCAGGTCGATATATTTACGCAGGTGTTTAGAATGAATATTTACTTATATTTGAATTTCGTCAGTTATGTACATAGTGTTCCTATGCGTTTACTATTAGGTATACACACACACACACACACACACACACACACACACACAGGTCAATTCCATTCATGCGTGCATAACTATTTTCCACACTTAATTTATCTTATACACGAGTAAGTGTATAAAGAGGGTAATACTCGATCCAGCATATTTTTGAAATTATTGTTCGAAATTCTGGTGGCAAGCAAGGGTAGCCGCAGCTTTTCAATTGTCACTTCCTCTACAGCCGCTCAATTACAAGCGCTCGCTGCTAATTGCGATCGTGCTTGTGATCGGTTCGGTCTTTTTTTGTATACCTATTCGTTTTTTGCAAGGTTCCTGTTTGTTTTTATGTCAAATGAGAAGCTGTTCTGAACATTTCTTACTTTTCCTTTGCATGCAGTAGGTACTTATTATATGTATAGTTATAGGTACTTGTTATTTTATATAGATCGCACTATTAATTACATGTTTCTAACACTATCAGAGAGATTTCTATTGGACAATGATGTCTATATAAATGTCCTAACAAAAGTTTGAGCGATCCAACTTTTTACTAAGCCGGATTTAAATTTGTCTTACGTGTCGTATCGTGACTCGTCAGAACGGTGTCGGTTTCATACACACAACACAAGTCGTCACGTCATACATTTATATTAGTGTGTCGCAAATACAATAATATAAATGTAACCATATTAAATGTATGAAACCGATACCGCTCTGACGCGTCACGACACGACATGTCAGACAAATGTAAATCCGGCTTCACCGCTCTAAACACAGCATTGATCATTGTAAGAATTGCTAAAAGTACCCCCATACGTGTTTCAATAATTACAAGAAAAACCGTAAAAAAATTCGTCATTTACCTTTCAATATAAAACATCAATTTGGGTAAAATCAAGTGACTGTATATTGTCGTTAATGTTAATTTCATCTCCACACTGCAGATAGAACCCCTCTAATAGTAACTTCAACACGCGCAGCCCTAGCCAGACTATAACGACATTAATTACACTTAAATATCTACTTCAGTTGCAAAAAGCGTTATAATTAATTTTTTATCTAAAACGA